ATTAACTCTAAAACAAGAAGAAAAAAAAGGCAAAACATTTTGTGCTTTCTGTATGAACAGCCACATAAGTCTACTCTACTGGTTGTACCTGCCTTGGTATTTAGTTGGACCAGACACTGTTTTTATTCCTTCAAAAATCAAAAACCTTAGAATCAACTGCTGATATTATGTCTGTCAATATGTAAATGTATCTTGCTTAAATTAGAAGATATATATTCACTTGGAAATGCCAAGACAGAAGATAAATGCATTTCATTTAAAAGTAGGGACAAAGCTAGAAAGCCAGGCATTTGCAATGACGAAAATGTGGCTTAAGATTATTTGAAGAAAGAGCAGAACTGAAAAACAATTCTAATGTTTTTCTTTCCTTCTTCTTTTCCTTATAATCAAAAAAAATCCCTTAATTCTCCATTCTTACCCCTGTATTTCACTAAGGAATGGATTAAATAGATCAGACTAAATACAGAGAAAATCCATGTTATAAATAAATCACCTTGAAGGATGTAAGCAAGAGGCTACAGTATGAGGCACTGGTATCAGCATCCCAGGGCAGGTTCACTCTTAAAGTGTGCCAGTACTTTTATGGTTTTCACCTTTGGTGAAAATTGGATGTTTTTTTCTCAAAAAAAAACACAAACAAACAAACAAACAAAAAAAACCATAAAAAATTCAAATATTTCTGAGGGTTTTTACACTCGGCCTTCCTAATTCTTCAGTAATTAACATTTTAGCTATAAAAAACAGGACTTATGAGATCACAGATCACTAGGACAGTTCTTTTGTTAGTGTGAAGAAAAAATACACTTAGCATGAAGATGTTGTTGGAAAAGCTCAGGTACAGAGTACCTGAGTCTAATAGCGGCAAAACTGCAGAGCATTAGCCTTATTACCAGATTCACATACTGTCAGTACCCATAATACAGAGACAGGCATCCCTATTACTATATCATGAATACAACCCTTCAAAACTATTTTTCCACCCACTGTACCAGTTAGTCCTGAGAAATGTTAGCAAAGACAAGGAGAAGTTGATAATCTTCTGTAGTTCACCTTACCCTCCTTTATCAAAGATCCATCTTAAAGAACCTCTTACCTATAAGCTTAAATCATAGAATAATTAGGATTGAAAAAGACCTCCAAGATCATCTGGTCCAACAATCACACTATTACCAATGTCACCCACTCAACCATGTCCCTAAGCACAAGGTCCAACCTTTCCTTGAACATCCCCAAGGACGGTGACTCCACCACTTCCCTAGGCAAGCCGTTCCAATACCTGGCTACTCTTTCTGAGAAGAAATGTCTCCTAATTTCTAACCTGATGCCATTCCCTCTAGACCTATTGCTACTCATCTATGAGAAGAGGCCGACCCCCAGCTCCCCACAACTTCCTTTCAGGTAGTTGTAGAGAGCAATAAGGTCTCCCCTGAGCCTCCTCTTCTCCAGACTAAACAACCCCAGTTCCCTCGGCTGCTCCTCACAGGACTTGTGTTCCAGGCCCTGCACGAGCTTCGTAGCCCTTCTCTGGACACGTTGCAGGGCCTCAATGTCCTTCTTGTACTGAGGGACGCAAAGCTGAACACCGTACTCGAAGTGCGGCCACACTAAAGCTGAGTACATGGGAATGATTACCTCCCTGGTCCTGCTTGCAATGCTATTCCTGATCACAAGAAGTATTTAAGTCTCAATGAATTTCTTGTGATTTTATCTGCTTCCCTAATTTAAAAGACCCTTTAGTTGCATAATCCCATAAGGCCCTGGTTGATTTTGACACTGGAACCATGTTTATTATACTCATGGCATCTCTCTAGCACAGCCCAGATGTGCAATTCCAGCTAATGTGGACATACATTACCTTGGTATCTGTTTGAAAGGTCAGCTTGGGTTTCACAGAGCCAGAAGTTTGTCCGGAGTCCTTAGTCAAAATGTCTCCCACAATCCATAATTCTGTGCAGTGCCAGCAGTACCAAATTGCCTCTTTTAAAGCCAGAGAAGTTATACCTGTACGAATTCCAGCCACATCTTGAAACCTGATATGTGATGTGTTATTTGGAGGACAGATCAGGAGTGTCTCTATTTTGTGCCGTTACAGTAATTCCTACACACCATAGCTTCATCTAGGGAGTATTTTGATATGAGAACAAAGTAACATTTGAACATTTCTTCCTGCACTTTCTGAGGGACAGACTTTTGCATTGGATAATACAGATGTAATTCTAACAAGATCTTTCAAGAAATATTCTATTTCAGGTATAAGAAAGACCTACCAAGACAAAGACAGAACACCTCAAATAATGTAAAGTATTACCATTTTTTATTGTGTTAGATTAATGCCTGCAGCAACTTCTAATACCAAACTGCTCAGCACATACTACACAGCTTCCATTAATGTTGTTTAGATTCATCCAATATTTAAAAAAACATCCCACATATTACAGGTCTTCATGAGGCAAAGTAAATAAAGATATTAGAAAGATCTCTCACAACAGTTTATGAACATGGTTTCTAGAAGAGCTCATGTCAGCTTTACTCACCTTCCCACATCAACGACAGTAGACCTCACGGGCAGCCAACATAGATTTATATTTTTAGAATCCTGTCATATACATATACAATTTTATTTTTATTATTTTTTTTTTCTAGAATACAGCTTATAAGAAGACCTAGTAATAAATAGCAGCTTGGAGATGAATTTGCCTCCAGTGAAAATAATGATCTGAATACCGCGGCTATACAGTGTTTTAGAAATTTGCTTGTATTCATTTTCACCTAAGAAACATGCTGTATTTTAGGACAACAAAGTTCATCCCTACTTTCGTTTTTTATTTTTTAAACAACATAAAATCACAGGGAAGAAAGAAGGGCCTCTTGGAAGACCTCACACTCTGGTACATTAACAGTGAATATAGCTAGTCTTAGTTAGCAACCTCAGTTTGCAACCACCATGTTGGAAAAAGGGTGACATGCTCCACTTTAAGTAGAACTGAGGTACTAATAAGAACAAAATATCATTTTGCTTGAAGAAAAATCATAGGTTCTATTTGCAGTACTCTTTTGAATCACCAGTCAAACCCACTCTAATGAAAAGGTGAGTTTAGACCCTGATTGATTTCTAGGTGCTCTGCTGAAGAGAGAGCTTAGGAGCACAGTCCACCCACAATGCACTTAAAGTAATTCAGAACTGACAGGCAATAAAAGAAATATTGTTCCTCCTCTCATTTAGTAGAACGAGAATAGCTGTATGCAATTGCATTTCTGAATTTGATAAGTGAAAAATGACTCATTTTATTAGACAAAGACCATTTAAAATGTTAAAAAAGCCTGCTGTTATAATTTGCATATTTTAAAATGAAATTGGTTCATCACAGAATGCTTAAATATAGTATTACAAGATATGCAAAAGCCTGTAGGTATTTAAAAAAAAAAAGTCAGTTTTATCATAATACTTTTCAGTTTGGTGCTATGGTAATGGTCATAAAAAGTACACAATAAAAATGGTATGTAGCTGTTCAAATGCCATTAAGCTTGTTGGACAAGCTTCAAGATAGGCATGCCTGGAAGACCCAATCCAATTGCTTTGAAAAACAAAAGGTACCAGGATGCCTGCCTGACATACAGAAAAAAAAAAAAAAAAGAAAGAAAAAAAATAATTAATTAGTTAATTTAAAAAGGACTAAAACAGGGATCCTGTTTTAAGTTGTATGCCTCTTTCCTGCATTTACGAATGGATGTGCCCATCAAAACTGCAACTGCAAATCAGATTATCACACATGAAGAGTGTACATGTTGAGAGGTTGCACATAAATGCATGTGTTATCTCTCTCTTCCAGGAATACATACGGTTTTAACATGTGTTGGTATAGCTGCCTTTCCTCTCTCTGTCCTTTTCACATCTGCTATCAAAGTAGAGTGAGTAAAGTGAATGCAAAATATAGTCACACACACAAGCAGAAAGCAGTTCGGTGAGGTTGTTTGTGTAGATGTTAATATGTAGCATAAAACCTCAAGACAATTTTTTTTTTTAAATTGTTGACACCGTGGCAAACTCACAATTGGATTACCACTTAACGTCAAAATATATGTTTCCAGTTCCCTAATATAAAATAAATAATAATAATAATAAATACACTACATGCCTTAATTTGAGAGGAATACTGGAAAAAACTCTAGGAGTCAGAATAGATGACTTAGTAGTCATCCAGCCACTGGACTGGAATTCAGGACACAAGGTTCAACCAAGTTCACTACAGACTTTATGTAATTTAAAAACCATCTAATTGAAACTCTCCATAAATCTTTTGTCTATGGTTTATTCAGGTTATGAACTCCTTGGTGAGAGGAGCAATTTTATTCTTTTTTTTTACATGTAGAAACACAGCACCTAGCTCGCAGGGCCTTGCAATGGCCACTTACACTTGGAAAATGAATCATGAGGTTGTAAGACCTTTGCGCTTCCCCCATCACTCATGCCAGAGAGGATCCCCCAGTGAACATGAGCAAAGCAAACTGATTAACCTCCCCAAACCTTCTCCCCTTCAGATGCCTACAAGTAAATTCAACAGCAGCTAGAACTGGTGTGTTCAGAAACCACTACACCGGCCACTATCATCTCATGCTTTGTTTTACTCTCCACATTTTCTATGTGCTTTCTGGAGGGATATCATCTCTTTGTTTTGTCTTTGCAGATTCTACAACAAAGAGAGTCCTGATCCATGACTCGGGATTTTGGTGTTCCTACATTCATTAAAAACACAACTCACTTCCAGTACACTGTCCTGATGTCCCTTAGGGAACCCCCACTGCTCCCAGCCCTGAGGAAGGCCCCATCACAAGCAGTGTCCTGATGATGATTTTGATGCATCACTTTTCCCATTTAAAAGAACAACAGTAAAGGATAATCCTGTTTAAGCCACCTAACTTTTAGAATTTCGGATTTTATAACAAAAGTGGTAATAATAAACACCACAAACAAAAGTCTTGAGCAACAAATTATCTGATACCTTGTATTCTCTAGGTTTTTCTTGGTCTGTGATCTCTTTATTTCTGTCATGTTTCTTGCTGAAACTCCTGGAACAAGAAGTTCAAGTAGATCGTCCTTTGCAAGGAAAAAATAAAAAAGATTCAGTGCAGCTATCTCCATTTCTTGTCAGGAGTGGAAGGAAGAGGGGGAACTGTAATCAGAACTGTTACAGCAGTTTTGCATTTTCTTTTAATTTTACATTTATTTTTAAGTAAAAAATCATTTCAATGCTATTTATCTTAGCTGACAAGAAGTTAGAACCAGTGCAAAAGTAGAAATGGAGGAAATGAGCAAACTCAGAAATGAGAAGAATTCAATATAGAAAAAAAACTTATAAACAAGGTTTGGAGTTGATTCATTTTTCAAAGCAACCTCACTTCCGTTTTTGTATTTTGAATCATTATCACATAATGAATCATTTTCATGTAATATTACATCTCACATGGCTTTTTAGGTAATGCAGTATTATAAACTTTTATTTATGGAAAACAGAAATTAGTGTTAATAACCTTGCAATGTTAAATCCTTTAGTTAAAGAAGAAACTTGTCATAAGTGTTAATAAGTTTCTCTTTTTCCTTGTTATAATTTGGGAAAAGTTGCACGTATTATACAAGGTCATAGGCAAAAGTGTTTATAAAAGACAAAAGGAAGAAACAAAACTTCAGCACCCAAAGGATCATTTCAGCATTTCCTGGCATGGGCAGTAACTTTGGGACCATGTCTATATAAGTTGGAGAACAGAAAATGAATCAATGTGATATCCAGTTTTCATTTGTGCCATGAGTGTAGTTTCACATGTGATCACTTACAGCCACATCATGACATATAAAATGTGTAAATTTGTACACTGACACACAGATGAGGTCAGGTTCTGTATTTAACATATGCACAGTAACCCACACATTATAGGTTCTGTAGAGAAAAAATTATCTCTTTACGACATTTACAGAAAGTGCAGCAGATTCAAACCCAGTCACATCCAAATTTGGAACACAAATGTTTGACAGTTTCAGTTTGTGCTCTCTCTATCTAATTACCATTTTAGAGGCTGGAAATGCAGAGAGAGGTTGGGATTGGTACCAATTATTTGAGCAGTATAGCAAGTAATTTTGATTTCAATTTGTCGTTCAGTAGATGGCAACTACTCGAACCATCATGTAAGGATTGCAGGAGGTCAGTAGATAATGAAAGATCCTGTTTACAGAAGCTAAAACATTTAAATCATTTTAATTTCAAGGAAGAGATCATTACCTTGAATTTAGAAGCAGTTGGGTATTTTTCTTCTACTTTTTGTAATTTTCTAATTTTACTTTTAGTGATAGTCCAGAGAACCGCCTTATGATGCTAGGGATCCAGTTTTGCATCACAGCAGCCTGAGAAGAAAACTGTGCTTTGAGTTACACAGAGAAGAGGTCTGAATGAGGGTTTCCCCCTGCTCACAACGTCTCTATCTACCAAGCCGTCTTTTTTGTCTCTTTTACATTAGTAAATTCTGATTTTGAGAAAAAATCTGAAAGCTTGGAATGAAAAACATAACTACTGCAGAGCAAAGCTTAGAGAAAATCCTGAAAATAGCCATCTCATGCATCCCTGCTCTGGGTATTTGAATGCTGTCAATAAAAACTGTAGGCACAGATGAAGACAGTAGCTGCTGAAGGCAGGACACTGCAGATGGCAGCAACAGAGCCATGAGTACCTGTCTAGTCAGCCTGTGCCAGTCCCTCAATATTCCAGGATTGCTATTGCAGTTGTCCAGAAGGTCTTTCCTTTGAAATATATATATGCCCTTTTTCTTGTTAATTCTTCACCTTAACTGTAGGTTTACATCAAACGCAAAAGTGGAAAGACAAAATATGTGCTATTCACAGTCAAACCTCCAAAAGCTTATATACATTAGAAAAGCCAATTCTGGATATCCAAAATTGATCCCCAAACTATTATCAACACTTGTGAGTTTGGCAGATGTTCAAATAACTGACTTGAACATAAAAAATAGCATTTATGTTTATATATCAAAGATACAGGGCACACATACTCTTCTTATACATTGGCAAGATGCTTTTGAATCTCTGCTTTCTGTGGAAACTTCTCTATCAAATGGTATCTAATTTTAAATTAAACTTACCTTTATTAAATCAAGTCCTGTTAAGCACAAATTGTTCACTATTGACCCAATTATCTAACTTGTATATGTACTTACCTGCCTACATGTACTCTGGCAAATGCTATAATTACCCTCAATGAATCACAAACAAAATTATCATTTTACCTTGCAAGTACAGGAAAGCAGTGGTGAGAGCATGACTTGATTATATAAAAGCTACCTTATTTCCTGGAATGACGACAAAGCTGGTAAAAACTCTTGTTAAATATAGTTCTAAATGAGCCACTCTGTTCAGTAGATAGATAGAAAACAATCAGAAAAACAGTGAAAAAAATAACAAAAGAGGAGAGACCTGAAAACATCACCAGTCTGCTGTAAAAGCTGAAAGGCAGGAAAAAAAAAAAAAAAAAAAAAAAAAAAAAAAAAAAAAAAAACACACCTTAACAATATGTTTATATTAAAAACATTCATAGAAATGATTTTAAAGTGGAAAGACAGAAACATATTTTATAACATAATGCTCAAAATGCAGGAAGCATACAGCTGTGATCCTTCTCCTGCAGTTTCCTAATGTATTTAAAGCTACTTATTTCCACACAGACAGTATCTAGGAAGCTGCTGAAGAGACACAGCTCCCAATGTTTATTGTAATTTACATTTAGCACATAATTTCCAGATTTTTCTTTGCCTTTTATCTGAATACATCTTCAGAAGGGCACTTATTTTAAATGCCCTGTAATCAGAGGATACAAACATTTAGAGATATGTAATGCTATGGAGAAGACCAGCCACATTCTGCCTTCAGGTAACTATTTAACTCACAAAAAAAAAAAAAAACATTTACAAGGCTGTGAAGAGAGCTAGATGAGAGCGACCTTGAGTTCTGCACAATAGGACCAAGAGATAACAAGATAACATCAGCTTTGCTTTGCTTTACTTTTTAAAAACCAACATCAGAAAATATTCCCAATATCTGCTTAAAAATTGATTGGTGAACTTCCAGCTGTAGCTACATCTCCACAGAGTAGCATTGCAATTTATGAGGTCACCAGAAAAATATTTAAGTTAATACTTCATAGAAGTTTTCTTGGGAGATAACTGGTGCCTTCTGAAATACCTATTGATGATTATAACTTTTAATCTGAAGGTTATTAGGTTACCAATCAAAATCAGTTTGTTTGATTGTTTTTATTTAAATTTGCATCTTATAAATTTAAAAAATTATCCAGAAGATAAAAATACTATCTGAGTATAATTTCAGTTCTAATGCATGGGACTGAATTTGACGTTCTGTTTCTCCCTTTTAAATGTCATCCTGATTAGAAATTATTAGAAGGGAGACTTTTTTTCCTTTTATATTTTTAGGGGAAAATACCCTTTTTCCTGGGATAAACATAAGAATACCCCAGAACAAATGCAAAAACAGTTTCTAAGCAGCTGAAAGTTTAAAAAAATAATAAATAAAAAGATTAGAGAATCAACCGAGGTGAGTTTGATGAGAACAAAGCTTGTTAAACCCATCTAAGTGCCTTTATGGCAGGGTAACAGCCCTTATGAACAGAGGAGGTGTTATACAGCTTTACCTCTGACACTGTTTAATGTGACATTTTCAAAGCAAGCTAGAGCAAATAACTCTAGCTGAAATAGCTGTTAGGTGGGTGCAGAGAAGAAATGACTTACTGAATATCAGCAGTTCACAGTAACACTGTGATGAAAGAAGGAAGTATTAGGTTCTAGTGCTCTCTCCAGGATCTGGTGCTGTTAGTACTGTTCAGCAATAATAAGGACGATGGTAAAGGCTTATGAGATTGAAAGAAAATATGAAGCTGAAACAGGCTGCAAGTACTCTCAGGGAAATATTACAACTTCTAAAAAATTAGAAAAATTAGAGAAGAGAAGGGGGAGAGCGAGAGGAAAATCATTAAAGATAAAAGCTCAAGGGAATAACCCAACTCGCACAAATAGAAGATGGCAAAGCTGACCTAGTATGTAGGCCTAGTATGTGAATCATAACCTGAACACAGTCAACATAGTGCTGTAAAAATTGAAATAGTACCGCAAAATGCCATGCAGAATGCATTAACAGGAATATAATGGGCATCTTTTCAGCCCATACTGACATCTCACTCCATTTGGGGATTCACAGATCAGGAAGGGTACAATCAACTGCAAACAATCCAGGAAATGATCAGATATCTCAGAAACCCATCTTATGAGAAAAGACTACTAGGAATGCTGAAAACTTCTGGGTTATTCTTGCTTCAGAAAGTTCTTCAAAAATAGTAGAAATGTTCTCCATTTTCTTAATAGATACTGTTCATATTTGATTGATAACAACAACTTGCCAATTCAACTTTGTGGAGGAAACATATGAAGTAGATCAATTTCAAAACTTTTTCTTCAAGATATTATCAAACTTATAAAGTACAAATGGCTCTGAGTACAAATTATCAAATATCTCACATCTAAGAGATAATTAAGACATCAAAACTAAGTACTGCTAACAAAAAGCTTTCATTTACTAGGCCATTTAAGGAATCTTGTTTACTTTAATGTGAACAAAGCTCTGTAATGCCTTTCAAGTATAGGTCATAACACCATCTTGTTCTACATAAGTATGGTTGTTTTTTTGGTTGGTTGGTTGTTGTTGTGATTTTGTGTATGGTTTTTTGTTTGTTTTTACATCCCCCACTAACCTTTTGAAATATTTTGAAATATAACTGCCAACTACACTATTTAAATACATCCATTTATTTTAAAAGATGTTAACCATCATTATGGAAAGGCTTGATTGCTAGTAACATGACAGTCACTTCTTACATCTCCGCATTAGTAAGTTCAAAGTCACTAATTCCCTTGGACACAATATTAATAATGCTCTAATTTTTGCATGTGCTCAGACTAAGAAACTAAATGGATGGCATAGGAAAAGACAACTGTGCTCTGCCAAATCCATTCCAAATAAAGAGGTACATTACATACTTCCTACAGGCATTTTAGGTGTGATACGTTACCAGAGCAGGACATTCCCAGTAGGCAAGAGCAGAATTCGTTCATTTTCATTATATTGGACATTGAAAGAGAAATTCAAAAAAAATATGGCTTTGGAAAAACTTTCTCCAGCTTCTTTCAATGCTGTACCTTTGGTTTATGCAGTTTGAAGGTGAAAAATTTATGTTCCTAGACATTTTGCACGTTATTTCAAATCACTTCTAGGACCACGATGCCCATGGATCTAGAGTAGGTAGAACAGGTAAACTGCAATGAACAACTCCAAATTATCAAAGCTGTTCATTCTGTATCAGAAAAATAATTTAGTCTGTAATTGTTACTGTTTAGGCCTAAACTTCTCGAAGTATTTAGCCATTAACAAGGATCGGCCTTTAAATCAATTATACACTCTCATATCCAGTCCTAGATTCACACAAGAAGAGACACAGCCTGCTTTGGGAAACACATGCTATTATGTCTGCAATTCTAAGATATTCCCATAAATATGTAAAACCTTATGCCTTTCTTACCTTTACTAAATTGTCTCCTGAAAGCTGATAAGATGTTTTACAACAGGATTCTTCCCAATCCCACTGTACAATTATTTTCTCCTCACTTGTAGTATCATCACATTTTGAAAGGAAAATGTTTTTGACTGCATACATTAGAAAAATCCAACACTTGCTAAATGCAAAAGAAACTCAACAGTCTCCTGTTGAGAGAAAAACAACATTTCTGGTTGATTGAAAGCATTTATCCACAAACTATAACAGAAAAGATCAACTAAATGTTAAATATATATATACATACATACATATATATATAAATCAGATTGCTAGCAATGAGAACAATACATATAAAGTGAAAAATCCAAACTTCTGATGCTCATTACATTGAAAATACAGCCAAACGTCCTAAGTTTGGAAAGTGTTTTCTTAGAGTCGAAACCAATGAAATGTTACATCATCATCTGATGTTAATTAATGTCTTTGTGTTGACCTGAGTGAGCACAGGTGTTTTGCAAGGTATGCTCTGTTAAAAGCTATTGATAGGCAACCACTTTGTAGTAACTAGCTGTCTTCCTCCTCCTTGCACTTCTCATGCTGTGAACTAATTAAAACTAGGAATGATTACTAGTATTTAATGAAATACTAGTATTTCATTAAATTCATTTCATTTAATGAAATACTAGTAATTTGAAGAAAAAGGCAATCTTCACACTTGCTGAAATTGTTTTGACTTGGTACAACACATTTTCCAAGCAAAGCTGTAGGCTACACACTAAAGAGCATTGGATGTAAAGAAGGTTAAAATGTCAAATCCAGAGTGAAGACAGTCAAGATGCAATCATTCAAGAGTAACACAGAGTGGCTGTGGGAAGTGGAATTAACATACTTATTAGGCAATGTTATTAATTTGGCAGCTCATAGAAAGCAATGTTTTGCTGAAGCAAGATATTGCTTTACTGATAATATGTAAGCAAACATCTGAACAGGCAGAGAGCATCACATCCTTCCTGGCACGTTTGAGTATGATTCCAGGAACTGCCTTATCCCTGAGCCTATGCTGTTGTATATCGGCACGTGCACCCCTCTGTTTTGAGAAGTCTACCATGTAAGGCCAAGGTTAATACTCAGTCTCATGTTCTGTCTGTGACACATTAATAAGTTAAAGAGAGTCTACGCTGACACATTTTTTGACCCTCCACAGCCTTGACATTATATGAAGAGTTGGGTCTTCCTCCACGTCCTCTCATAAATCATGATCTGCAATGCACAACAGCCCCAGCAGAAGTAGCTGGGTGAGAAAAGAAGAACATTCAGACTCAGTATAGCTAATCATTGTTTTCTGTCAACTGAAGCCAACAAATTTTACAAGCTTTTGTCAATAAAATCTCCGTTGCAGGTCTGCAGCGACTGGAATTCAGTGGTACCAAGCACCCACTGATGTGGAGATGCAGAATCAGTTCTGTAGTCACGTTTGAAGATAAATCCAGAAGGACTTGTGTAACCCTGTAGTACTCCTCCCAAGGCCTCCAACCTTTACATCAATCTCACAGCTCTTTGTGACCATCCTCCCCATCTCTCTGCAGCACAACTGATTGAGTGAAAGGAGTGCACCTCTTTCGATACAAAGTTCAGCGCCCTGCTTAAGACTACTCCTACAGCAGCACTGACTCAGTAGTGGTCTTCTCCCAGAAGCAGCTGAGGTACAAATACGTTTCGTTTTGTTGACTTTGCAGTGATAGCAATTACTTCAGGCAGGAAGATGGTAACCCGCCACTGGTGAGGACAATGAAGTCTTAAAATGCTGCAGCTGCATGCTGAGGGAATGCAAACAAAATTGCAACTGAACATCCAGGCCGTGTCTATCCTAGTCAATTAAAACTGCCAGGAGCATGCCATTCCTAGAGGCCAACTGGCAAGGATCAGTCTTCATTTATGCTGATAGTCTTTTAGCCTCTGACACAAACTCTCTCCATGCTAACAGCAATTAGGATCAGACCCTGAAACAGTTTTAACTCTATTCACACCCAAGTAATGTTTCAGTGTGATGCATTCATGTGCCTGGCAACCTTCCTGGGGAATACGTAAATTAAAAGTACAGCTGTGTATTCAGCATCACTCCTGGTATTGTCAATATCCAGCTTGCAGATGCACAGGTTGGTGTTCTGACTGTGCCACGTGGGGAGAGATATTTTCTTTTTCTCGCACCATTAAGGTATCAAAGTGCAAGAGATTTCTGCCAGCAGTGTATCCTAATACCTTTTCTGGATAGGATTTTTAAAATTTTGCACAATATTCTATCCTTTTGGTCTTTTTCCTTCTTAAGCTTGTAAGTCCAAATATTGAAGCCATAAAATAAGACAAAATTCATTCAGCTTCCTAAAAAGCAAACAAACTAGGATTTGCCATTTAAGACAAACTTCAAAATGTCAGACTTTCTTTACATACACTTTTCTTTCTAGCTCAAGTTTATTTATATTTGTAAAAAATACTTAGATCAAGTGGTGTTATATCAAAGCAGAAAAGTCAGGTAAACCGAAAACAGGTCAAAGGACTAATGCTGTTTTCCCCTCAGTGGAGCTGCAGCAGAACATACCCACCTGCTGTCATAGAGCGCTTCTTGGAATCTAATCAAAGTAAGGCTGAAAATGCCACAAACCCGGCCTACTCAGAAACAAGAGATACTGGAAATTTCCAGAGAGACATGTCCACGAGTTTTCTGTCTGATTTTTTTTTTTTTTTCTGATTACATTTTGATCCTCAGCTAGAGTGAATCTCTGAAGATGCTGCACTGTGCCCACAGTTGTGGACAGCTTAATAACACCTGTATTTATGCCAGCATTGTTTTCAAACTACAGCCAGGTTTGGCAGTCAGGCAGCTGAACCAGATGCTCTAATGCAATTTCTGAATACAGAATGTAAAAATATGATGATTCAAAATCCTGACAGGGAAGAACTAGTCCTCAAAAACAACTTATCTGATCTCCAGAGTACACAGAGCAGGAAGATTCCAGGTTTGGAGGCTATGCGTATTGCGGCAGACACCCCTGAATTTACCCAGGTACAAGCAGATCAGGCATAGCAGCATGGACTCAATTCAGCACATGCTTTATCTGCTGATTTTTTTCCAGTTCCCAGCAAGTTCCACAAACTGTGCTGAGCTCCTTGCTGCTGAAGCTATATTGCTATTAGTTCCTCCATTAGATAACATAAAGCCTATCTCAGGTGCGTATAAATTACACAGAAGCCCTGATGCTTTTTTTTTTTTCCTCCCCACAGAATAAGCATTACTATATTTTATCACAACTATGTTTTTCTAAGGAAGATACAGAGATCTAGCTTCATAAACTTTTTTTCTTTTCTTTTTTTCTTTTGCAGCTGTTTTGTATCATAATGAATTGCACTGTTGCACTCACTATGATAACATACTTCTGTCTATGTTAAGTGAGACTTTTAACAATGTGCAGGACAACTTTAAAAAAATAAAACAAGTGATTAGTGTTTCTGCATTTTATTTTTACACATGGTTTCAGTACCTCAAGTACAGAAAAATATCCTATATCGGGTAGAAGGCAAATGCTGTCGTGTGGACTTTTTTTAACAGGGGATTTACCTTTTTTATTCCCATGAGGAAAAAATATATCATTGGTACTCTTGCTTCTCCTTGCTACCAAGAAGTTGTCCTGAAGTTTTGTGATATAAACACTATTCTCCAGAGGTTAACTTCAGCTTGGAGGAAGAAGTCTGGGAATATTTCAGTGTAACTAGACTCCTTTACATACCTAATTACTACTCATGGAACAGAAATAATCCTCTTGCACTTCGCCAGGTATCTCTACCAAAAGCCCTGGCTCAAGAAGGGTGAACTTTCCAATGCCCATATCGAACTGTGAAGATACAGTGAATACCTCTAAACAATCTTTCCTATCAAAGCCTCCACCACCACAAAATCACAGTATCTGAGTTCTCAGCACCAAGCAGATGGGGTTAGCATTAATACTTTAAAGCATGATGGTTTTTCCTTTTTCAGAACTTTTTCAAAACACAGTGATCTTCAGCCAAGTATTAAACCATTTGACTGTTGTAAATATGTGCATCTTGGTGAAATCTTCTAACACCAAAGTTACTTAAAAATATTTTTAAGAGAAAACCTGGGTCTATGGGTAGGATAAACTGCAACAAATTAAATGAAACTCATTATGCAGCACAAGCTAGATACCTACAGACTCAGGATGGAGTTTATAGATTTGCTTTAGGGAGAGGTTTTGTTTTTTAAACTCAGTAACATATCAGTAATCCTGTTTGTGGTAAGAGTCCACACATTGCTGCATCTGCACAGCTGCAAAGGTAATGAACCACAGCAAAGAAACAAGCCTCTGGGAAAAGAGGAAGATTGTACAGATGAAAACCGGCTCATCACGAGGCTATACCCTGGCATTTCTTCTTCCCATTTGCCTTTGAGACACCTTGTTAAAAATATGCATACAAAAGATTTATCTTTCTGCAATAAGCTAAAATAAAATGCCATTCCTTTTCCAGACATCAATGTATATTTATACTCATTACACATTAAACAGGCTCCCATCAGAGTTGGTAGAAAGTCTTCTTGTAATGCTAATGAGCTTTGCATCAAAACCAATAGAGGTTCCTGTCATCATTATCTGTTATAACCTTGTATTTAGAAAGCTACATTCATACATTTATAATACAAGTGTAATTACTTGTTGGACTTGCTTATGATCACTTTTAGAAAGTGATAAGAAATATGATTTGATTCATTTGCTTGGTATTTTATTTTACCTCTTCCTTATTTTTGCTCCTTTTTCTTTGTTTTTCATTCATTTAATCAAATGCATATAATTAAGATTTATATAGAAATGCTAAGGATTTTGTACAGTACCATGTGTACCAGTGGCTCTGCAAGAAAAGGGTGTTGATTTCACTGTGTTGTTTTTACCCAATCTCTCAGGAATAGATAGCAATTTCATTCATTACTGCCTTTACCTGAATAACCAGCTTGATAACAACGGTACTTCTGCTGAAGAAAGAATGGGAGAATTAGCAATTCACCTGCACAGCTTCAGTGCAAATGTTGCTTCTCTAGGGAATCTTATATCCACACCCTTAGCATAGCTAGACAGAAAAGCAAGCATCCAGCAGAACAAATTTTTGCAAAAGGTACTGGCTACCAAAACCAGAACTAACGTAACAAACGTTACGTTTGACTGTTTTTTTTTTTTTTCTTAAAGCCTGAATCAGAGATGAAAAGTTTGTTTTAATTAGCAATAGTTGGCATAATTAAGTAAAACCCCAATCTGAGACAGTTTTGCCTGCAGCAGTGGCCGTTACAGACATACTGCCTATACCTAGCTATTAGCCGAGTACCGCTAAGTACCAATCCTGTATAGTTTTGATAACTTTTAGTGCGTGAGAATTTTTTGTTGCGTTTCCTACCCATTTTTCATCACCACCATTATTAACCAAAAAGCACCTGACTTCTGTTCATGTTCCACTTGAATAAAGAAGAACTGAAAGTACCAAATTCAGGATAACTGTAAAGAGCAGGCCACGGGGCTCTTAAATTACAGTTTCCATCACCTGAATGTATAGGAAAAGGAAAGTAACCCCCAAAAATCTGAAGATTTATAGAAACAATAAACTGCCAGGTTTACAGAACTAGTTATACAGAACTAAAGTATTACATATAAATCCTAAGTGGGGAAGAAACT